ATCGAATTCAGTTTAAAAAGCCTCTTCCTTTCTACAAAGTTGGCGACCTGATGTTACACCTTTCGTCTTTGTGTTGACAATTCAATTTCGAAACAGGTGACAGGTAATTCAAATTTAGCTTCACTTTTGGAGACAGCAATAAAACTTATGATTATTGTCCTATGTGGGAAGCATTAACGCTTTAATTAACAGGTCTTTGGTATTAATGGCAGAAGTTGTATTAGTGGAATTAAAACAATAGCATAATTATCAATGCAAGAAAATTTGATCAAGAGATATTTTCAGCAAATAGATATTATCATAATCACGCCATTTATTGTAAGCACTTCCATTTTAATCCTCACCTTACATTTTTCTTAGTGTTATTGCTCTATCAGTTACTTAACTTCTTTGAGAGTTATAGATAAATGAAATAGGTACCCCATACATTAGTGTTCAAAGAAAGCGGAATTGTACCATAAGACTAAAAAAAAAAACGTAATACGTATAGGGGATACTTCTCAATTTCTTGGGATTTCTTCTCACTAAAAAGAAATAAATGCGGTCTAATGTGATGCTACAAGATTAAAAAAAGAATGACTTGAACAAATATATCTGAATAAAACTAGCAGCAATTATTAACGGCGGTGTCACTAGTCAAAACAAGAGTAAATAAATAAATATGAAAGTAAAACTAATTTAATTGTGATTAGATCTACCGTTACCATTAATTTGCACAGTGGGGAGTCAAAATTACTTCTACAAACGTTCTTTAGTCTTCCTGCTGCGTTTGGCTGCTCCAGGTATCAATAGAAGAAAAATAGTTTCTTATCTAAGACCGCGATCATTTTATTCCATGGTCTGCGGATTTCATTTCTGAAAACCTCTGACAGGCGGTAGCAAAATAAGATTAAAAACAATTGTATGTTTTGACTTTTTTTTTTACAGTTTCTTGATTCCTGGAAACATGTGGTAAGCGGGAAAAAAAAAAAAAAAAAAAAAAAAAAAAAAAGATAGGCCTACTGATGATAAAACTACATCACGTCTGGAATCAGTATTGTTGATGTGCCCGCCGACAGGAATGATCTTTAGCAGAACCGGTGACATATTTTGTTTGAGACAAACGGCAGATACCCTCGATTGTGGAGGTTCCGATAGGTTAAATCTACAGAGCTCGACTCCATACCTTCAGATGCATTTCGAATCGTGTATACATCACTGGGAAGCGAATGGAGACGAGGTTATCATTTTTTGTTACATCTGCATCTGCGGGGGGGAAATAAAGTCGATTTCTCAATTTATTTTATTTTCGAAAATTGGGAAAAACAAGTGCGGGATATCCGTAAACCAAGGAATAAAATAAATGCCGCCTCTGTTTACCCCAAACATACTCCTTTTACAACATTATCACTGAGCATCACGGTCATTTTACATTTACTATCTTTTCGCAATGTCAGCGACTTTTAATTTCGTTTGTACCGTCACCATAATAACGAAAATATTTATATGTAAATATATGTTTTTTTTCTATGAGGTCTTCGAGGTCCTCAAAGAGTTGAACACCTCTTCAACCTCCTTCAGTGCTGGCGAAAGTCTCACACATGAGAGACGCAAATGTCACTGCACAAGAACAAATGTGACAAAAGGAGTTGTAATTGATATAAAGGCCTCTCTTTTCTATGAATAACTGGCAAGGATTTCGTACTTTGGGAGCGACCCAAGTGATTGGGACACATCTTCAGATAAATGTGCACTGAGACATCTGCAGTCAGGCATGGAAAAACCTAATAGTACATAGTGAAGAAATACCAAGAGAATAGAATAGTAACTTAAAGAAAGCTACGACATTCTCTTGCTGAGTCTTCCCAGAATCACATTGTGGAAGATCTACGACGGTTATGGTAATTAACCTCCAGCAGCTACTAGAAATACGTGGGAAACAAGGAAAGCCACTCTTTTGTTGACATGAAAAGGCATTCGACGCAGCAGATCAGGACTGCACTCTGTGTTGCGACGCATTGGATACCCACTAACACTTCTAAGCCCCACCCCCTTCTTCCATTCCGAGATGACTGTCAGAAAGCTGGGCAATAATGCTGCAATTATTTTCTATCTACTAAAATATCCTAATAATTCAAGAGCCATATTCCATGGTTTGAGGCAAAAATTCGCTTCTTAAGAGACATGTTCGAGTGGCGACGTGCGATCCCCTGCTGCAATATCTCTATCCCTTCGTCCTGCTGTTGCTTTATTTATCGGCTTATTATAAGCGATGGACAGTGGGATATCCAATAACTAATTACTTCTATTTTTTAAATTCTAATGATGATAATAATAACCATAATAAAATACTAGACTTGACACCCCATCACCATGGGTCTCCCCCTTCTCTATCTCATTATTGCCTTCTCCGTCCGTCTTCGTCCCCGTATTACTTTGGATGCCATGAACACTGCGATACGTAGGACATACATAGATATGACAGGCTGTGGGAATAGTCGGATCTTTGATCTTGATAGCAGATCAACGTGCAGAAGGTAAATTATATTGTGGTAAATGACCAACTCACCCCAAAATTGACGATATCTTGGGAAGATGAATAAAGCCGAAAAATTCTGGTTTGGCGGGCACACAGTAGTAATCAAACGTTCGATGAATAACGTTGATCTCTTCAAATAATAACATGAACTACATTATTCAGAAAACACATTTGCATGATACGGCTTTTTTAATTTAAAAGTTTATCATTGGCAAAAATTAAATGTAATTGATAATAATTTCTCTTCATCACAAAGGCTCCCATGGTTACCCCTTGCTCATATTGACACTTGGGACACCTGAAACGGAAAGCTGAACCGGATCTTACACCATTTTGCCGGTTCAGCTATTCGTCCAGGTGTCCCAAGCAAGGTATAGACTTTGGTCTCCAGCATTATAATCAACATGACAACACTGTTATTACAGTGCGTTTTCTGTGTTGAGCACTATTACAAAGAGAATGGGAATTTTAAGGGGCACAAAAATAATGCAAGACTTCCTTTTTAACGCGAAAGTTACATATTAACCAACTCTTTTGGTCTTTTGGTGCAATTTATTGAAAACAGTTACTTAACAATTAAGTGAAAAAATGTTCAAATTCTTTTTGTTTAATTAGTGGATTGTAGCTTACTTCCATTGATATATATGAATGGTTAATGGTTGAAACAAATGTACTAGACATCAAAGGTCATATAGCACTATGGTAAAGTATTGTGATGAAAAAGGTAAATAAATTGGGATCAAATGCGTTAATATGTCAAAAGTTATAGACTGTTATAGGATAGTATGATAGGGAAAAGGGTAAATCGGAGATTAGTAAAGGAAAGGGTAAAAGGCATAGGGCGATTGGATGAAATGGAGTGTATCTGTGGCTGGGGAAGCAATAAGAACATAGTTTGGAAAACTGTCAAAATGGCTATTATAAAACAATTAACGGGCAATACGGGTAGAGATGGCTGCTGGAGAAGTAGGAGGAGAATAATCCGGGGATTGAGATAAGTAGTATTACAGTCTGACCAGTTCTTGTCGTAGACTGGACAATCAGTCAGGGAAACGGAAACAATTCTGGTACAAGTATTATGAGAGGAGTGAGGTTCGACAGGAATAGGTTTGACAATGAGGTCAGTCAGTGTAATGCACGACCTTGGGACTGAGAAAAGGGGTGAACGATTAGAACGACTGCGAAAGGAAATTTTGCCTACTTGTTTTTGGAGACATTGTTTAGGAGAATAATATTGTCATAGTAAGGGGTTGTAAGGGGAATCAAAGAATTGATCCCACTTGGCTGGGCCAAAGGAGAGTCCTCAAAAGGTAGTACTGTGGGGAGGACGGCTAAAGGATGGAGAGTAGTAAGATGGGTGGAGGGGGTAGCCAATGAGGAAGACAGCAGTAGGAAATGGAGTGGAGAATGTTGGGAGAAAGGAAGGGTTGCATTCTGAAGGTTGAGGAATGACTTGGGTGGGTGATTCGGAATGGACTGAGTTGTCAGTAAACATCGAGGAGGAAGTATTAGTATTTGTGGTCATCAAAGGAGGGACAAGGGTCAGGAAACCAATAAAATCAAATTTAGATAGGCTAGTTGATGAAGGAGCAAGCCTTAAAGCTCCTATTAAGGGTAAATTTTTTTATTATTGACCATGGTGAGTCTGAAATAAGTTGGGAAAAGTAACGGTCTCCCCCTCAGGGTCCCTAGAAGGGGTAAAGGCTAGGCGATTAACCAAGGGAAATACTGTGCTCATGGCCCCCGCACTGACAACAATCAGCAAGAGATTGAGGGGAAAATAATAATAATAATAATAATAATAATAATAATAATAATAATAATAATGATAATAATAACAATAATAATAGTAATAGTAATAATAATAATAATAACAATAATAATAATAGTAATGAAAATAACAATAAAAATAATGATGATAATAGTACCAACAATAATAATAATTATCATCATTACTCTTATAATATAATATAATAATAAGAATAAGAATAATAACAATAATAGTAGTAATAATAATAATTGTAACAATAACAATAATAATTATTATCATTATTATCATCATCATTATCATAATAATAATAACAATAGCAATAATAATAATAATAATAATAATAATAATAATATAATAATAATAATAATAATAATAATAATAATAAAAATAAAAATAATAATAACAATAATAATAATAGTAATAACAACATTAATAACAATAGTAATAAAAATAATAATAATGATAATGATAATAATAATAACAACAACAATAATGAATATAAAAATGATAGTAATATTAGTAACAATGATAATGATAATAAATATTATTAACATTAATATCATTATTATTACTATTATCATTATAAGAATAATAAATATAACAATAACAACAATAATAATAATGTCCTTTACCATGTCTAAAAAAGAAAATTTATACTGTTATTATTCCTAGCAATGTACTATAAAAAAGGGGAAAAGTAAACACATTACATATATATTAAACATTCTTTAATATGAGAAACATACATACATCTGGCAGCATCTTGTACATAAACAAAGAAGGCTTAAATAGTTTTTGGAAGGAGTTGGAAACAGTTTTCTTGCCACAGACATCTAGTACCCAAGAGACAGTCTGTGAGTCTGGCAGCACCTGTCATTGGACAACACAGACTAGGCTGCCTACCTGTCGTTAATTATCCATGATCATGGCTTCCATGGGAGTTGACACACTTATATATATATATACAGTGGAGATGTATCTGTGGGAATTCCTGAAGCAGGCTGAACTGAACTCTTTCTCAAGAAAGAAAATGAAAGATAAGACAATGATAACAGATAGTTCACATACACTTTACAATATAGGAGGGGGAATGCATCATACTTTGGCTCTGGTACTAAAATCAATAAATAAAGCATGGCTGAAAATACTGCAATTCTGAGATAATTCAGTTTCAAAACTAAGACTAGCTTTTGTAATCTTTCCTTAAAATTACCAACAATGTAAAATAAAGCAACACTATAACTTTATCAATATAGCTTCATCTGTGAAAAAGTCATGGTTTGAAGATTTCTCAATAATAAAGTGAACTGCAAAAAAGAATACATTTTGCACAAGCATTAACAAAATAATCTAATAACAAATCTACCTGCATCTGAAAGAATCAAAACGGCCACTTCACAGACCTTTAACAATCAAACAGCCTACGAAGGGAAATTAAGATGGCCTATCCAAAGCTAGGATCAATGAATGGCTTGCAACAACCGCATCCCATCTTTTGCATTGCACTCTCAGATGAAAACTGGTCATTCTAAATTACAAACATTCATATAAACCTGAGGGTTAAATATGACCATGGGATAAGTACACTGACTGGTGTACTTAATCCATATCCTTTGTAAGTGGAACCTTTCCACTGCATGGCTACTGTGAGAGCATTACTGTTTCCTCTGAAAGAAAATTCTTTGCTTCAACGCTAATGTCAGTATACAATGAGAATGCCCTTCCAAATACGAGATGAAGTTACAGGAAATTAAGTCACAAATTTACATAATGTATGTAATATAAGGTAATTCAACACTCTTAAAATCATTTAATATTTTGTGTTCAATATTGTTCTGATGATCCTAAACAATTTGCTATATTTTTGTTCGGTAAAAACCCATATTTGTTCAAAAGTATATCATATTACATGTCCATATACAGTGGCCAATATTAATTTATAAATAAAGTAGACCCATACCATACTGAAATTTTGATAAATATCAAAATCACTGAAACTGATGAACATAAAATGCATTATGATATCTAGGTTTTAAGGAGACATGCTTCACATGCCATAGCATATTAAATATCTCCTTGCCAAAATTCACTCATCCCTAAGTCTATATAACCACCTTTCATAATTACAACACATTGACCTTAAAATCTAGCATACAACAACCTAAAAATATTTCCATATAATTCATTCACCCACGATGAATTATTTCAAATCAAACATGGATTATGAAAAAATAAAAGGCAAGTATCTCTCGCATAAGCCTTATTCTGTCTGAAGTGCTAGACAACTCAAGTTAGCACTAAAAATTGGAATATTGCACCTAAGGGTCAAGCTGCTGATGTAGCAACAAAGCTTTTTCTTTTGTGATTAAGAAATTATGTTCAGAAAAGTCTGTATCATTTGGTAATAAACATTGGTATAGTTAGCTTGAGAACACGTGAGATAACTTTACATAAGCACAGGCAAAGAAAGCATAGCATCAAAACATAATTCCTTTCTCCAATTACCCTCTAACCATGATATCTGATTCAGATCACATAACATGAACATGGCAGCCACATCAGTATATGAACCATTACACAAGTTTCAAAGTTCTGAGGGCTTGTATTGAGGCCAAACTGGTGGGGGTTAAGAGAGTGTGATTCAAGTCTATAAACATAGTGATTAATTTATTGTGAGGAACTGGTACTTCTAAAGACAGTCACCTTCCAAATCTAGAAACTGTCACTGTGATTTTATGAATATAGGCAGAATCAGAATAAGGAAGACACTGTCAGTATAACAAATCTATTGATTTGGTAGCAAAATCAATTGATAGGCAAATGCAAGATGGCTATGAGAGCTTCTAAATAAGCCAGTCTACATAACTTACTTTCATCTGTTTTTCCATCTATCCTCTCCAATAATCCTCTTGATATACAAGACCCACATCTTCATGTTAAAACACATATTTACTGAGGACACCTATAAGCATACATAACAAATGGTATGACTGAAAAATGCTTGGTAAAGGAACCTGCAAGTAAAAGTAGCTAATAAAGGTAAATTGTTTAAAGAAGTACAAAAAAGGGTATTTGCAACATCATTTTTCTTTCAAAAGGAGAAAAAAATCATACTGGCCTCAAAGTAAAAATATTACATACTACCAGGTACTAATTCCCTTGAAAGTACTGTTATATCCCCAGCACTGTCTATCAAAGTCTTCCATTTGCAATAACTTCAGATAGGTAATACATTTATACTGTGTATACTGTAAATGACTAGAAAGCTGACCAATCATGTTTTGGTTAAAAGGACTAGTGGGGGAAAATTATCATTGCACCAGACTAAAAATCATACCTGGAAGCCTTAAAATATGAACATACCATATTAGGAAATATATGCCAACAGGAACTGTTCTCTGATACTATCAAGTTTATCAGAACAGTTTTATGGACTTTCTTACATCTACCTACAAGAGCAGCATTTCCACATGGAATGAAAATATAATTCTGAATAATATCTCTGTCACTTAAATGTAGGACAAATAATTTTGATAAATCCAAATGGCAAATTCTAAGTTAATCATGTGAGAATAAATTCTCTTCTTCGTAAGTGAAAATAATATTCTATAAAACAACTCAAAGAACTAGCATTTCTTGTCATCATGAGAGGCTTGGCTGAAGATTGCATTTGCTGGGTCAGCAAGTGGGTCAATATCCTGAAACACCTTATACCAATCTAACTTGCTAGCTTCCTGCTTCTGCGCTGCATTCAAGGAAGGAGCGGAATGGGCTCCACCTGCAGTATGCCTGGATTGTGACAAGGAATTAGCTGGAGATGAACCCTTAGTGTTGCTTACATTAGCCTGTGCAACTCCAGGTTGGTTGGGTGTATTATGAGCGGTGTTT